CTGTCAGAGCACTGAGTATTTACACTCTGAGGTCTTCCCGGTGGAGGAAAGCAGACCAGTTGCTCGTGTGTTTCGGGTCCCCCAAGGCTGGGCTCCCCGCTTCTAAACACACCATCAGCAACTGGATCGTTCAGACTATTTCCCTGGCCTATCAGGTGCGCGGTTTGCCTTCACCTATGGCCGTAAGGGCGCACTCTACTCAAGGCATGGCAGCTTCTAGGGCCCTCCTCGCAGGGGCGTCACTCCAGGATTTGTGTGACGCGGCTGGCTGGGCCACCCCTCACACTTTTATCCGGTTTTACAGTCTGGAACTTCCTTCTGCACCCGGCACCCGTGCGCTGTCCTCCTAGTCGTGCCGTCAGGTTCTGCATGCTGGGGGCAGGCAGGGTTTCGGCGTGGCCTAAGTGGGTATCTCATTCCCATAGTGTCGTCACCGACGCAGTTCGAGTTCCCTCGAAGGGGAACGAGACACTGTGTCGGTCCGCCACACCTCACCCCGCCTGGAGTGCCTTGCTTCATAGAAAGGGCTAATGTGTCCTATGTGCCAGCGTGCTTATATACCCCCTCCGGTTACGCCGTCACATACTACCGTTCTAGTAACACCAATAGGATTGGAGTAGTTTCATTCATAGTTCAGCCCTGCCACGCCCACAGGCGTTCCCATAGTGTCGTCACCGACGCAGTGTCTCATTCCCCTTCTCAGGGAACAAGGGTTACATACGTAACCCGAGACGTTATCAGGCTAATATAGTAGTGATCTTAGCATCTTAGATGTTGCAGATGTCAAGATTTAAGCTACTCTTAATCACTTTATTATTGCCTATTTGTGAACGGGTTGTAACCTCACATAAAAATGAACTATTCGCCAGCTTTGTTGGTTACCTTTGACACCCTGTAAGCCACTTCCTATGTGAAGAATTCGGGTCGGATTTTCTGCTAAATCCATTGGTTTATGTAGGCTATGACGTTCAAAGGCACTCCTGAGCCTCTGGCTTACTGATTCTGAATCGCACACACCGCAACAACACCGCAGATAACGAAATGGAGTCTGCCAAAACCAAAAAACAACTGGCTCCCAGCACAACACAAATATCAACACAAACTCCATGTAAGGACAAAAAAAAAAAATTAAAAAGTTTTATGGGCTGAAGCCCGTCAGGCCAAAAGAGAATCAGATTGATGTCAGGCAATGTCAGGGTTGTCTTTCATCCTACTGGACAGGTAAACTAACATTACTGCAAAGCATGTGAAATATTTTGTGTTTTAGTTGGCTCAAGTTAGATAACATTAGCTATCTGGCTAATGCTGAGCAGTTGCCAATGTTATCCGTTGCAAAATACTATAGTTGTAACGTTATGGCTTGTAACATTACTTCACCAGCTAAAATGTTGTGAAGTGTTCATGCTCGGTACATGGGTACCAATGATGCAGTATTAAACACCTGCTGCAGAGCCCTCCTGCCCTGGGCCGTGTACATCGTATAGCTGTTCCCAGTCGGGATGCCTTCTATTGCTTAACAAGATCTTGGCACGGGAATTTTGCCTTCTTTTCCTTAAATACAGCTGTTTCTGTGCATTCTTAACCAGCGTGGAGCAAGGGTCAAGTTAACCGAATATTTTCTGTCATGGACTGAACTATGTCAAAATAATTTTAAAATCTGAAGGCCGTCAGTTATTTTGACAGATCAATACTAAGAGAATTCACATGCAACACTGTCAATAACTAAATGTAGACCACCTGCAGTAGAACTCCCTTTCCAGTTGGTGGCGAGTGTGCATATTGTCTGGCAGCCTGACATCACACAAAATGTTGGAAACTCCAGCTACATTGACTGCATTTAGACGAAATGACACATCGGCGTTAGATAGCCAACCAGCTTTTCAATAACTTTTTGTGATGATTACAACAACGGTTAGTGAGCTAGACTGAATATTATAAATGAGATTGTTGCCACACTTTAGTATAACAGTTAGACCATAGTAAGTAACGTTACTGTGTTCCTGCACCACAATGCACTATACTGCATTGTAGCAGTAAAAACATGTAGTCCAAAACACATCCCATCAGTAAATCCCCAGGGACTGCTGCCGCATCATTTCATATTTGCCGGCAGACGTATGTCATTATAACCGTAATAACGCCGATTTAATGGTAAACAACTATGATATCTTGTATTCGAAATTAGCCGCTGAACTCTGACCTTTCGAGTGACACCAAATCCGACCCAATAGGAGCTCACATGTCCGTTTCACAGCCTTCAATAGCCAACGAGAGCCTGCGCTGTAAGGAAGGGCAGCCCCTATTATTTCATGGGTAGGCCGAGCCAATTGCAAGCAATTGTGCCGATGACTGGAACTTCGTGTAGCCAATACAATTCTGAAAATAATGATATCCAGTAGGAAGTTCATGATCTACCAGCAAAAAAACACATCTGTGTCGAGCTACCAGCTGATACGGAGCGATGCAGCAGCTGCCGCCTGCCGCCAAGGGGCGGTGCTGTTTTAGAAAAAATACGACATACACTTAGAAAAACCTGTGTATTGGTATGAAATTTAAACTAGGACTAGGTCGTGCTTTATCCTGTGGCCCTACAGAGTTTTCAAGCTAATAAGTCCCACCTATAGTTGTCTGCATGCATTTGTTAGCAAGCATTTTCAAGTGGAAATGAAAAATATATTAGTTTTAGTGTGTTTAAACTTATATTAATCAATTCCAGTAGCACTTACAATCATTCTGACTTATGGGTTAGATACTCCAGAGTGTTATCTTTCAGAGAAGCCCAAAACCCTGCATATACTCAAATGGTTCAAGAACTACATTCACATACATTTACTTTGGATATGCCTTGAATAGGCGTTTTGCATGAATTTTACAGGAATGTTAGTTTCCATGAAATGGAAAGCGGAGTGTTATTTGCTTCTGTATTTCCTAAAAAAACACAAAGCTAGGGAGGGACTGGTTGCAGATATTGATTGGCATTTACAGTAGCCAGCAGTTGAATGTGCGTTACGGCCTCACCCTGTAATGCAGTCTCTGTACAGACTGGTTCCAGCTCCCAGTGAATGAACATGGCAGCTGGACCGGGACAGAGCACAGCCTCTGAGACCAGTTTGACTACTGGGAATATAGTACAGAGGTGGGGTTTTTTGCTGGGTGTGACTCTTGGCGGTTTCGCAAAAAAAAATGCTATCAAGGGCTGAAACGATTCATCGATTAATTCGATTACTAAAAAGCATTGACGCAAATTCTTTGCATCAATGCTTTGTTTAATCCATATAACTATAGCCTACTGTTTCGCACGGACATTTATTAAAATAGCGAGGGACGAAGAAAGTATGGGGTTATTTCAAGCTAAAAGAAAACAGCAACTCTGTAATGATACAGCCTGTCTCCCGTAAAACGAAACTTATGTCGCCTACCGCAACAGCACGACGGCATCTGACGACAAGCGTCAAGTCCACGGAGCGGACCACAGACAAGGTAACAGTAACAGCAACTTAAGCATTTACCTGAAATTATGATTGTTGAGTTTAAAGCTAGCAAAAGTAAGCCGCAGTCCTCAGCTGTAAATGTAAATACGTGCGTTTGTTGTTCTCCGCCTGGTTGGGCTGTGAGTTTGGGCTGTAATTGGGTTGGGTTGAATCGCTGAAATTATCTGTGGAAGCTTCGAGCACTAAAATCATCGTTAGCTGCAGCCCTAAAGGTATCAATCAAGATCTTATGTCCATCAAGAAGTTCATAAATCATCTCAGTACTGGATTCCCTGTTGGTCTTTGAGGCTGTGTGGGAAGCTGGGAAGCTTGCTGTGCACAGTTTGGTTGCCTACTCGGGTTTCCTTTCTGGCGCCAATACCCGCCAACATTTCCCTGCTGGGTTTCCCCGACCCTTGGCCTGAAAACCTCCAGTGCTTTTGTAAAGGTTTAAACACCTTTATACAGTCTAAGCTAATTTGACCACTAGTTGCATGGCTAACTGAGCCAATTAAATAATGGCAGCTAGTTAGCAGCAGTTAGCTGCATGTTACTTCAGCAACAAGTAAAGCTATCTGTCCATCAGGAAACTCCATACATCACAGAGAATTGTGGCAGAGCAGTTCTGTATGTTGACTGAGATTCAGTCGTGATATGCATAGAACATAATAGATTTACGGGATTATGGAAATTAAGGGATACTTTTGGTTTCCACATAAACCAGATTGTTGTTTTAGTCATTGCAACCATCAGGCAGTCATTGTGACAGGCGGCATTCCTATTTTATTCTTATAGGAATCCAAAGAAAGAAGTCAAGTCTTATCCAAAAAAATCTGATTATAGAGCCGCAACAATAAGTCGATAAATCAATTAGTCGACAGACAAATAATCAGCAACTATTTTGACTGTAAATTAACATTAATTTTTCAAGAAAAAAAATCTCGGTTACAGATTCTCATTTGTGAGGTTTTGCTGTTTATATGTGTTTTATGTGATAGAACACTAAATTTAGTAAATTTTTTGAATTTTGCACTGTTGATCAAATAAAACAAGATATTTGAAGCTGTCACAGTGGGTTTTAGAATTAAAATTATAATGGACATTTTCCCCTTTTTTTGTCATTTTACACTCTACTACACAAAATAATTATATGATTAATTGATAATGTTAATTGATTGTTAGCTGCAGCTCTGCTACATTCATGCACATACTGCCTTTTATGCCTTAATATTGTTGAGTTTTTGGCAAAATGAACATACAGAGCATATCTTTTGATGCTAAATAACAACCTTCTCACTGGTCAAGTACAAGAGGTTAATAATGAATTAGTCATGTAGAGCAATCTCAAGCTCTACACCTGCCAACTGCAGTCTGTCTGCACTCAGGCTTAGACACTACACACACAACTCCTTCTTTTTTCATATTTTAAAAAACAAAATCTCAAATGAGGAAATTGTGCATCAGTTATGCAGATACATTTATAATAATAAGCCAGATATTTCTTTTCATTATTCCACTTCCAGTACTGACCTTCTTTTCCAAACACTCCACCTGTTTTTCCTCTCCTCCCACTTCGTTGTAGCCTTTCCCCTTGGCATCTGTGGAGTCTTCATTACCACCGCATATAGATGCTGCTGCCCTGCCAGCCGGCTGTAATGAGGGAGAGACTCTGTATATGGACACCAGTTCAATCCAGACCACTGAAAATGTTTTAATAATTCGTAATGGATCGCTTCCGAGGTGATGAGGGGTCAAGTGATTGGCCACAACACAGTTGATAGTGATTAATTCAAATGCCTTTTGATACTTGAACTGGCTCCTACTTCTGTCATTGCCTTTATGTAGTACAGTCCTCATTCATAACTGTCAAGAACCTACTCATCTGTATCCCTAGCTTATTTGGGTGAAAATCACACATAAAATGTGTTTTCCACCACAGAAAAAAGAGAGGACTAATCTTATTTCTTTTGACACTTCCCTATAATGATTTTTTGGAAGGGAGGATAATCCTTGGATGGACATGAGCCTATCACATATCTGCACGTCTGGTAAAAGCAGGAGATGCAAGCTGACTTTCAGATGTACCCTCCAGCTTCTGCCACCATTAAGGTTGGTTGGGGTGAAGGGGTAAAGAAGAGGTAGAAGACACTAACAAGATCATGCAATATTAATGAGGTTTTGAGATGTGGGACATGCTAGGCAAATTGGCCACTGTATATGCAGGAAAATAATATCTTATACAAGCATGAGGAGGACAGAGAGAAAAGGGCCACAACAGGTGTGAATGTATACAAAAGAAAAATTACCTGTTGTTTTTATTATTATTATTATTTTGGATAACATAGACATCATCAGACATATTTTCGTACCTGGATGTGGAATAACTGGGATGGTGGAAAAACCTTTAGCTTATCTGAGAACTGGTCTGAGCAGTAATTAGGCTGGCACTGTCCAATCAAATAGACTTTCTAGTATTTACATGTAACTGGAGATGCAACCTATGAATTTCCAAAAAATATCAAAAACATACTCTTATTACTCGTTTGTATTTAATTTTGGTCAATACTAGTAAAAAAAAGTGATTGTGCCTTTCAAATCTTTACATTTTATCCGCTTGGCCTAGCTACCACTTTTTGTTCCTTCTGCTTTTGTCCACTTAACAATAGTACAAAAACAGTCAAAAGTCTCGGATTTACACAGGCTTTTATACATTTCTCAAGTTAGGAACACACATCCACATTTATGAGGAGGTCATGTGGCCTGACACTTCGACATTCACTGAATAAAAAAAGGCGATATTTGGTGAAAGTCATCCACAGAGTTACCTTCAACTAGCTTACTTTGCATTGTAGGAGTAGCCAAATATTTCTATCCTGAAATATCAAGATGTTTAACTTATCAGTACAATTCATAAATCCGTATTTGTTGTCTGAAAACTGATTCATACACATGACATTTCACCGAACAATATACAGTATATATAGTATATAGTACATTTTTCAATACAATTATTTAGAATAGTTTGTTATACAATAATTTCTCCATGTGATGGAAAACTATACTGATCTTGTTTATATATGATTTATTGAACCTCATAAAGACATTTGATGGAATAAAAACAAGCTGCTGGCCAAGTGCAAAAAAGGTTTTGTTGGATCATAAAAACTTTCTTATACTTACTAAGGTTATAGAAGTCCAATGGAAAATTCTGCTAGATATAACAGTGTAAAAAACCAAATGAATCTAATAGTGGTTGAGGTCTGCAAGAAAGTTTCCCATCTTCTTCCAGCTCTGGCAGTACTGAGCTAAATGTTATATTGCCAAACTGGTTAACTATTTGCTAATTTACTAATATGCAAAAAGGAAGTAATTAGAAAATATCACAGAGAAGCACTTGTTTGTTGCTGGGAAACATAAGGTGAATAAACTTATGTAAATGCACATAACACATCTACAACAACTGACTTCACCAACAACACCATTTTTTTATAGACTTACAGACCCAAGTAGGTCAGCAATCACACAAATTGGTCCAACTCCATTTTCATTTGAAATGTATAGATGATAAAGGTTGTGTCCACGCAAATTCAAAAAACAAACTGTTTCATGGTTTGGGGTTCTGTGTTTCTTCTGTCCTGCCTTGTTTATTCTCATGTTCAGTTTAGTTCACATTACCAGTTCTGTCTCATTTCCTGTTTTCTTATCTTAGTTCTTAGTCCTGCGTTCTAGTTCTGTGCCTTCTTAGTCCTGTGTCTTGGTTTATGTCTTAGTGCTTAGTCCTGGTTCTGTGTCTTAATTCTTAGATCTGGTTTGGAGTTTATCATTTCCCATTTAGATGTTACATGTTTTCCCTGTCATTTATTGTGTTAGTCTGTCCTGTCCATGTCATCTGGTTCTGTATTTTGTGAGTGGTTTGTTCTTGTGTCAAGTTTCAGTTTGTTTGTGTGCCCTGTCTGTTCTCTCCTTGTGTCTGTGTCTTAGTCCTTAGTCCTATGTCTCCAGGTTAGTGTAGTCCTGTTTCCTGTTTGGTCATGTCTCTGTTCCCTGCCCTGGTTTTGATCAGTTATGCAGTTGTTCCCTGTTTTCTGTTTTACTTTGGTAACTCTGTCCTTGTGTGTCCCCATTTGCTTTAATTCCTGTTTAATTTTGTAGTGATCGGTTCTCACGTGTCCATGTCTAGCTTTGTTTCCTGTTGTTTGGTTACCTGATGTGCTTCCCGCCCTGCTCGTTACCTGGTGTTTAAATGTTGGCTTCTTCTGTTCACTCTTTGTTAGATCCTTGTCATCGTCATTTGTTGAGTGTTCTGCTCTGTTCCTCATGCTTGGATTATTTCTCTGTCTGTTGGATTGTATCTGCTTTGCCTGTTCTGGATTCAGCTTTTGTTTGGACTATTTACCTTGTGCTTCCACGTAAGCCTGTTTTTGTTCATGTTAATAAATCTTTTGTAAAACTGCATCCTCCTCGCCTGTTGTCTGCATGTGGGTCCACATCTAAGTCTGCACTCAGCCACCCTCATGACACACCATCAAAATTGAGTTCTACAATAGGCATTACCAACACTATTAATATTTTTTAGCAAAGACATTGCAGAAGAAAGCACTGCAACACTGCTGCACGTGAGAGAGACAGTCCCAGTGGGAGAAATGAGACCATCTGCCCCATCTGCAGGTGACTGTCCCCGGATAGAGGATGGAGTTAAGCTGACACAGCGAAAGAGAGCAGCAGGGCAAACTGTCCTGCTATGAAGCTGCTGTAGCAGGCCCTGTAATAGGCCCACTACTGTTGTTTTAGAGAAACATTTCGTTTATAACTGACTATGTGCCAAAGGGGCACTGCTTCCAGTGTTGAATAACATCTTGGGTGTCTCACCAGGGGGGGATACTGTAGCCATGGATTTGTCACTGGCTGAGAAAGGGTGAGAATCCACTATGCTGGGTACACTACATCACAAAGAAGCATCATTTTAAATGATGAAACAGCTTAAAAATATAAGTTTAGGGAGTCATAAATGGTCATCAACCACATTCCTGTTTTGGAAAGTATACAAGCTTCTGATTATAGGTAGATTTAACACTGAAAAAGAAAAAAGCTGGTATCAGTTCATTACTGGTATTGACCAAAACCCTGGGTTCAAGCATTTAAGTGCTGTTAAAAAGTTCCATTTTGTTATAAATGCTAATTATATTGAATTAAATTGCAAACATTGCAGTTTTGTTACTGAAAGGAAGGGTGCCTGAAAAAAACTTTTCAAAACTGATTTCGAGAAAGCATCTCCGCCTCACCCCTGTGCACTTGGCTTGACAATGCACTGATTCAACTCCAAATACTCATTATACAAATACATAGCCTGAGGTAATGCAAACCCAAACATCCGAAGCAAATTAGACGATGCAATTCTGTGGAGGAAAGACACTACCATTAACATCTTACTTAACGATGTTACTGTATTTTGGATCAAAGGAGTGAGGGCTGTGAGATAACCCTGTTTTGCTTTCATGTTTAGATATGCTGGTTGGACACATGATATATATTTTAGCCAGAAGGAAATAACTTACCTACCATCAGTGTATGAGCAAATGGGGCTGATAAAGAGACTTATGGCAATTTGACATGCTTCTGTTGTAGCCAAAGAAGACTTTATCAGCAACATAAACTAGGACAAACCTGGGCCACTTCATCATACTAAAGAATATGAGGTGCAAATATCTGTCCAAGTAGCTGTGTAAACACATTAAAGAAAACAACAGAATTCATTAGGCCAGGATTAACTTATGAAAGATAATTAAAGTTACCCTGTGGAGTTTTCATTGTAAACAAACATGGTTTTGTTTGCATTCAGCGTTGCTCACCAAATGGTTTGTGTGTATCCTTCAGGCCTTACAAACATGCTAAATGCATTTTATATCTCACAAAACATTTGCAAAGGTTTTTTGAATGTTTTAAAACCTGTATTGTTAGAACTTACAGTCTTTTTCTTCTCCTTTATTGGTGCAGTGCCACAGCTAACTGTCAATATGCACTGCCACACTCGGCAGAAACATGTTTCACCTCACCTGGTATGAATGTGCAAACATGAGAGCAATAAGTCGTATTATAAAGTGCAAGGTTACAGACTCCGGTTTGCAGTGCACATTCCCTGATGACACAGCCAACAGTTTCATTTTGTTTGATGAACATGATACAGCTTCTAAAATCTAAAGCTAAGAAGCCTGCTAACAGCATTGATCCTGCCCTTGGTTTTATGGGCTCCAGTTGGCCACAGATAACATAAATGTTCTTGGTCAAAACTTCAAGGGCAATCCTGATCATATTTTATGATATCTGCTCTCCTAGGAGAGGAGTTTGTATGCAATTGTGAAATCAGGTAATAATTAAAGAGAGGGAAAAATAGCATTTATCATTACACTAATTTCAATTAAGTAATGCAGTAACAGTTAAACTGTCTATGCAATATGTGCTGATGACATAGCAACATGAGTCCAACCTTTATTCCCCCCACCTGGGGTAAATAATTTGCACTCATCTCTATTGGCAAACTGTGGATTTGACAATGGCTCATCTTTTCATTTGTCACTCTCACTCTTTGTGATGCTTTGTGATGCTTTGTGAAGCCAATATCTATTAAAAGGCAAACTCCATTAGCTAAAAGCATGTTTTACTTTATTTGTTATAACCTACAATTCCCTATGTGACTATTATTAGTTCCAATACATCACCAGTACATTATTTTTGATAACTTTTAAAAATGCCACCCCAGACATAACAAGCAACCCATTTTTCTCAAACAGAAATCATCAAATAACATCTTGATTGCATCATAAGGCTATAAGGAGATAAGAGTGTATTTGGTAAATGGAACATGAATCCACAAAACAACAAACCAAATGCATATCATCCATTGACGGAAACATCTGTGAATCATTATGCAAACTTAGGTTCATTCTTCAGAGTTCAATTCATTAAGGAGTATTGTTAGTTTCAGTGGCTGAGCCCTTATTATCATGCATTTAGGAAATGAGGCAAATAGAAAAGGCATAAGAGCCCAATCAATAGCTCTTTTCATTTTGTTTTAATGGCCACATCTTTTTTTCCCTCGTGGACTAAAAAGAACACAGGGGAGGTTGGTGTTACAACCATAAGATGTAATTTCTCTGCAGGAAAAAAAAAACATAATAATGCCTCCTACCCCTTTTCTGCATATTCCTATAACATTCTGCCAAATTGAGTATGGATTTAACATCAAAAGGTTACATGAATTTTTCAAATGAGATATTAAAGTCAATATTTCAACCAAAGGATATTTCAATTCAGGGGCTTACATGATGTGCTAAGATGAGCTGGCTTGCAGGCATGGCTGCTACAGTTTTGCCACAAAATGTACTTGCTAGAAAAGTCAAACCCAGAGATTTTGATGTCAGACATGGCAGGAAATATAAAAATGCCCCAAATCACTCCCATTTCAAAGGACAACAAGTCTATATGTTAACACACTACAGCACAGCTTCTGTGCCATCACTGTGGGAGAAGAGGCCATTGAGTATCCATAATGCCTAGATTTTTAGTGAAAGCACTTAATCAATTAAAATACACTATTCTGTACCATTGCCTGGTCTACCAGCAGCCTGTGACACTGCTTTGGAGGATTTAAGTGTTCTCTGAGTCATTTCAACAAAAGGGGCCAGTATGATTCCAAATATCAGATAAGTTTTGTACAAGTGTGCATGACTACCAAAGCGGTCCATGCGTGAAGTATAATTTAAGTTTATTAAGTTTAGCTATCCTTAAAATTACATTTTATTTTGAGTGGTGAGTGGTCTCTGTTTCCGGTTTTAGACTTTCTTGTTCTATTTTCATTGTACAACGGAACAAGCCAACCCTTTGGTGCGCTAAATTACATTGCACGTCTTCATTCAATGCGACAATAACACAGCATAGTTCTAACATAGTTTAGGCTGCATTTGCTCTGGAAAAATGAACTCACATGGGTCAAGATGCATTTACATTAGCGCAAGTAGCACAATGAAATTTGGTAATACCCCCTAATCTGGCATTTTTCATCATACAGTGTGAACAACTGCAGATGAATTATACTTAACGCCCGGACCCAAAGCTCCACCATGTTGGCACATATGTTAAACACATTGTAAACACTTGAGCTTTATTGTTTGACTCCACCTTTATGGAAGATTTTATTGGACATTAATATTTGTAACCCACAGAAAACAATCCACAAATGTGTACTATGATGCGCAAATATTTCACTATCTACAAATGAGTATTTTTACATTTGTGATGCGTAAAATCATATCCACAAAAATACAGTGACTTCTACACACAAAACAGTTATTGCATATTTGCAGATTGCTTTCTGTCAATTTGCAGGTCACATTACATTTGGGACTTCCTTTTTACGCATTTGTGGAATTTCCAATCTGTACCACAGAGATCTGTAAACAGAGATCTGTAAATGTGAGAGCAGTTTATTAGCTACACCAGCAGGTGGTGGTAGCGAGATTGCCTCTCATGAGTTGTACGAATACCCATTGCAGTACCCAGGGTCATCTGTAGGAGACAACAACTTTTTAAGTTTTAAATCTTTGATTTTGACTGATGATTATTTTACACAAGCATAATGACTTAAGGAGTTTTCATTAGAAATAAACACCTTATAAATTAGCTTCAACCAAAATGCATTTGATGTACTGTATCCTTAAAGCCTAATAATTACATTAAATTCATTAAGTTCCTCTACATAAAACATTTAAAACACAGTTGTTTTAAACTCGGCATCATTTATGTTAGCTTATAGTCTTCTTCTCTTCTTTTATTGCCGCATTGCTACCTATCACGGCTCATTACTGCCACCGGCTGCGCACGACTCGGACCTTTATGGTGCATGTGATGGTTGACCACGAGATACAAACAATAAAGGGACCCTAACATTGCTCAGCAACTTCAAAAACAGAATTATTTTGGACAATTCAATGACAAGTTCAAATCTTGTGATGTAAATATCGCTTATCTGTGAAGAAATATTATTTAGGATCTAATATTTTTCAGTCGTGTCTATGGTACGTTCAACACCAGCAGTGTCTATACCTTGGCAAGGTAAGTACATGGCATTATTTGAAACCTCTTTGATATAGTTAAAAACACCACACCTTCACTGAGGTCTTTTTTATAGTACTATAACTACTACTTGACTGGGGCAATTCATCGACGTAGTCGACATTATCGATTACGTAAATACATCAACTCGCATTATGTGCATCAAGGCGTTGCTGCATCCGGTGTTAGCAGGGATTCCACAGGCTCCAGCTACAAGACCGTGCCTTCGACCGTCTAAAGTTTGGGAGATTTTTAGACAGACACTCAACAACGTGGTACTCGCTCCGTGAACTTCACTGCAGTACAACTGCTGTCCACAAATACATGAAGCAGCATGAACTGCTGTGTCATGCTCTGTCTCCACACAAGTACGGCACATTAGTAGCACGTAGTCCGTTAAAATGTATTTCTTCATTGCCTTCATGTTAAAAGTAATTTCTGCCCCGCTGTTGTCATGGCAACGTAACGTCACACTGTGTGTCATCTAACATTCGGCCGTTTCATGTTTTCTGTTTAACGGCCACGTCTGAGTGAGAAAATAGTTGAATCTAACATTACAGACTGTCTGTATAGTCTGCGAATCGTTTCAGTTGTTTTCTTTGCCCCACACTGATGCAGAAATAAATTTGATTATCATACAGCATTACTCAATATTGAAATAAATTTCAGAAACATTAAAGTAAAGTAGCCTAATTAATGTCTGTTATTGTTATTATCACAATACAGCAGTGACGTGTAAATTTGATTAATTTTAAGATACTGATACTATTACTACTAATACTGATTTATTGATTATTTTTCTTTAGAATACACAAAATTTGTCGACTAATCGAAAAAATAATCGTTAGATTAATTGATTTGAAAAATAATCGTTATGTACAGCCCTCCTAAAAAGCATTTAATAGTAAAGGTTTTCATGTATAATATTATTGTGCCCAGTCCCAAAAACAAAATCAGGGTTACATTTGGAATATTACGCAAGAGAGTTTGCAAAGGTTTAGAAAACCAAGGTTTAACACACATTTATGGAGCAGAGTGGACTGAGTCATTGTCATCATTAACACGCCTTACAAAGTATGCAAGAGGAGGTCCTTTATACTGTTTTGTAATCAAGCTCTGTAATCAAGTCCTAATAACAGAAATTATACAAATGAATGCCAATATTGCTCGCTAATAGTTTGACTACAGCCAAAGCCGACTGATTTAATGAACTCGTTATAGATCAGACCACTATTGTCTGTAGAGGCATGAATTAATCTTGATGAGGAAAGCAAAATCACTTCTCCCAGATTAACAGCTGTATTTTCAATATGGCTTTCACGGGCTAATTAAGAAATAGGAGCTGAGTCTAGCGAGAAGTAATTCAAAAGAAAGTTTTACCTCATCTCCATCGGTGGGGGTAATCTTGAGGGAGCAGGTCGCGGGGTGCCCCTCTTCCCAAAAACCTCCACGCCTCATCCTTCATCTGCGGCTGCTCGTCATGTCCCGTCACCAGCACAGTTACACCTGAACACTCTGCTGCTGCCAAACACCTGGCTCCATCTCCCACTGTCCAAATGAAAAATAAGCATAATCTGCCTTTCTGAGTATCCAGCAAATGAGGGATTTCATGACAAATTGGGTGGAGGTTTATTATGCAGAAGGGGGAGGCAGAACAGAGACAGAGAGGAGCTATAATAAAGGGAAGTGTAGTTTGGATATGGCAGAAATTGTGGTAATGACTTGTAAGATTTTGGCTTGGTAACTACTGTGGGTATATTTAGTGTCCATAACATGTTTTGTTTTTTTTGTAAAAACACACTTTGAATCTTAACTGAATGCTTTTAACAATCACTGTAGAATATATCATTTTAATGTGTATCCATTTTATATATCTAAACATTCAGAATTATGTACTGCATATCTACAATATTTCAATAAGAGATCTATTTAGCAACAATATTTTTTTCTAATCTTTAACCCAGTTTGTTTAAGAACCCAGCACAATGTGGTGAGAAGTATGATGATCATCGTGAGGAGAAATTCAGATTCACACTGTAATAGAGAATTAACTGCCTCAATAGCTTGATGGATGTGTTTCTTAAAACTTAATTAGTGTGAAGATAAGTGGGCGTTCAATAAATGTCTGGCAGTTGAATACAAGTGGCATTCAAAAACATTTCAAATTGCATAAAACTGAGAGAGCGCGGCAGGAAAAGAGTCATTAAGAAGCAAGAGGAGTGAACACAAAGGCAACTAGATTGTCATGGTTTGCAGTACTCTTAGGTGTACGTCAAATAGTCCCTGTTTCCCAAAACAGTGGGACTTAAGACGTTTGTAGAAGTATTGTACATTAACACATACTTTGTCCCTGCTTGAAGAAAGTGAGGCACATCATAAGAAGCTGCAGGAGCTGCAACAGGAACCAGAAACGACGCTTTATTGTTTTTGTTGTTTTTAAGCCTATACTTGTTGTCCTCCTTGTTCAGTGATGTAGAAGAGTGAAGTTTAAATTAAAAAGAAAATAAAACTAAACTAACACACATACAAAAATAAAATGATTTGCATAATTAATCTGCCAGTTCCGTTATCACCGGCCTCCTCTACCTCTTATCTCTCTCTTAGGGCTGAAATGTCACTTCCATGTTCTGTTTTCAGTTTTCACTGCAGTGAAGCTAGTTTTATGTTGGATATTCGACCTCTATCGAACATCCAACCTAAAACTTTAAATTTCACCGCGGTACGTTCTTCCAGATATGATGCCGCTGTTGCATTCAGGATAAACAAACGTGGAGGAAAGTGAAGCTTACTCATAACTGGATAATACTGAACAGGAGGAAGAGAGAGAAGGAGAGAAGTCTGTTGAGCCACGCAACATTATTCCAGCCATTTCAGCCATGATGTGTGTCAGGAAACTTTTAATGACTTGCCCACAGACATTCAGTTTACTTTCTAGTTCACCAAGACATACTGTTGTAGTGATGTTGGCTGTAGCAGGAGAGCTATGAGTATCGCAGTCTGGAGCTGTTGTGCGGCTCCGGTGCCGTTTCGTCCTCTCATGTTAGCTTTGCAGCAGCAAGTAGCATCAGTTTGCTAACCCACAACTAATGTATACTTGCTGTGTTGTCACTCTATATCATGATATTTGTCATGTTATTGGATAGACTGTTAAATACACCACATTACTTTAGAGGGTATTCTGAATTCTTTTAGAAAACATGAAAAATTTACGTGTAAGTGTTGACTGCTCATAGAAAAGCGCTTCTAAGGGCCCTAGTTTGTAGACTACAAAACAATGAGGACTGGTATGTGAGGAAATAACACGCCCCAACCTCCAAGTAAACTTCAGAGAGTGTGCATCCTTTGTTGTAAGTGACCAAAGCAGATTATTAAGACAACACAAATGAAGTCAAACAAAGCAGCAGCAGCCGAGCCTAACAGAATACGTTGAAAACCTAAACCTAACTGGAAAAGAATAAATATCAACCTAAGGAAGAGCGGGGACAGACAGACAAACAAACAAGAAGGGGAAAATGGCTTCACTCGCAAAATGGGACATTTAAAAAAACTGCCGACAGGCAGGCAATTGAATTTGCATACCACAAACTTTCATCTGGGGGATGTGAAGAAAGACTCCACCGCAGGAATCATTTAATATTTAATAAATTAGAAACAGTAGCTATGGCTAATTAGAATTTGCACATTTACAAATCAGCCCTGATAGCAAAACAAATTATGAAATATAACGGTGCTCTGTGGATTACCAAGGGAAAATCAGATGATAGACAAAGCAAATGGAGTATCACTAACAGCATACTGTCAGAACATATCACACAGCTAATCCAGTTAGAGGGGGATGCCATAGAGGCTTTGCTTTAAAATATTGATATGCTATTCCGTAAAAGCTTTTTTTTCTTTTTGCAAGAGTACACTCAGTCTAACACTTGCTTATTGCTCATGGGTCATTAGCCTCTCATCCTCTGCTGCTTGGCCAGTTTGCTTTGAAAGAAAGGCTTGTGATTAAATGAATGTGTTTGCTCTGGTACTCCATTAGAGAAGGTCTGGATGCTTGCAGTTCCATTGTTTATATTATGGGTACAAAAGCAGGCAGTGTGTAAACTGTTGTATTCATTATTAGATTACTTCCTGGTGTGATGGCTTTTGGTAAAAGCCATGGAATTCTTGTAAGGGGACTTGACGTGTACTCTGGGGAAAAACATTTATCAAATGATAAAGTCCAAGGCCGAGGCATATTCAAACTAAGCAGTTACAGAGTAGATGCCATACAAAATCTACATCAATAAAAGTCAAATAAAGAAATGTGGAATAGCACAGAGTGGATTACAAAGCTATTCTTCATGTCATTCTAAGGCTGTTAACATAACAAAGTGAGAGCATATTTATCATAATGTAGCAAACACATAATGTAACACTTTAACTCCATTTTACTCCAATTTAAAAATCAAATTTTCACTGCAGTGAGGTTTACATCTAGTCACTACACATACAGTATCTGTCCTTTATAATGCTGCTAAATCAAACCACAGGAGTGAACAAAATCAGAAGTGATGTTAGTGAATGTAACGTATGGTAGTGAATACTCCAAAACTGCCTAAATACTGGGAAAATAATTTGCATAACAGCTAATTTTGTTCATAATGTAATCAAACAGCAATCACACTTTCATAATACATAATTAAAGTTAAATTGTGTCTTTAGATTGTCGTGAATAACAACAAATACAGAAATGAACAACAGTTAGAAATACATAAAGTATGTTAGGGTAAGCACAATTCAGAGTGCTCTAAGAACCTCTGTGCTTATGTGATACAGCAAATGTATTTAGAGTGAAAGAAAATGTGTTCCAATACTGACACATTCAAGCAAACACATACCACAATATATCAGATTTATATGGGTCTCCAAAAGTACAAAATTTAATGCACACCGGCACTGTGCGACACATCAAAACCGCTATGTAAGCCTGCACTCCATTGGCGCCATTGCCGTTGATACATTTCACCTTGTTCTATTTCCAAGGCTCAACACACATCAGCTCTAAAGAACAGCAGCAATTTCATTACATTCACTTCCCGGCTCGTAGTTGCCTTCCCCTGGCTGCTTCTTCTGGCTGTATGATGCGCCTGGTGTGCTCTATTGACGCCAAGTGAGGCACGTCAAATAATGCAAGTGCTGTGATGCTGGCTCTTAATTTGGAACACGTCACCAGCTCACTCTTATCCCTTAGTAAAGGATCAGAAAACTTCAAAAAAATAACAGCAAAAATACAGATTATTTACGCAGGCAATAAACAAAAGGCCAGATTCATGTTCTTTATCATCCAGCTTGTTATTGGCAACAAACATGGTATAAGAGGAATATCTGTGGAAACCTTTACACTCCTTGACAACAGGGGGCCAAACGACGCCCTTTGAAAGAAAAATGTGTTGTGACATTGTCAGCCTCAATCTGCAACTCTGTTATCACAGCCCGATATGATAAAGTTTAGAGACGGGAGGGTTTTAAGGCTAGCAAAACTACAGTTTATATGAACTATAAGTTTTCCTAATCACATACAAAGGTCAGTTACATAGTGATTTGAACAGAATGTTACAAATTACCCAGTTTCATGGGCTGTCCTGTTGAGAGGAAGATAATAGATATATTACTAATCGTTTTCTAATAATCTAGTTGTTTGTTAAAATAACATACCAATCTTTCACACTAATGCACACTAATAAAAATAAACCTTGATCGTGTAAATATCTGATCATCTGTAATGAGCTTGTTTCAAATAAGAGTTAGTTTTGTACGTGCACACATTCATGCTTTGTCTTTAATTATCGAACGTGTGGATGTGATAGAAAAGAACACTATTTCACTTTAAATATTTATTCTCTAGAACATGCTGTAGCATAATTGACACAGTTTTGCCCTGCACTGATAGCTAACATTTTACTAAAATAATATAAAAGAAACGGATACGTACATATCATTGTACTTTACAGTCTGAGATCTCTGACTAAAGAAGCTCCGCTGAATGGTGTGCATTCAGAACCTCACAACCTTTGGGCCTGCAGTATTTTTATTTTTGACACTTTATAACTAAATGCTGCCCATTTAGCTGTTTGTGAATAAAGCCCTTCCAGCTGCTGACTATTGCATTTTTTTTTATCTACAATTCATTTTCAAGAAACAGGAAAACGCAGAGATTTACCCTTTGCAAGTTGTACAGAATTTTCCAACATGGGTGGGAAAAGATAACAGGCCAAGATTTAATAAGCACATTTGCATAATCAATTCAATTTAAATTTTGGCTTTCAGCATCAACCGGTATTTCTGGTAATATTCTGCAACACAGAAGCAGTGTTGAAATTTTTATATTTACTTTTATTTTTAAATTACCAACTCCCATTGTGGCATTTTGCTGTCCTTTTATTCATTCAAGTTGTGAGGGAGTGAGGCCACCAAGATTTGTTCCAGTTGTTGTCTTGTAGTAAGTAGCAAATTATTTCTGTCTAGGAGAACAACATTTTAGAAGAGTAGATAGTCATCCGTTGTTCTGTTGT